CCCCAAAACCCCAAAACCCCAAAACCCCAAAACCCCTGGAATGAGTCAGCTAGTTGAAAGAATTACGTATGCTAAACTGGACACTCGAAATTTCTTCTCAAATGATACACTTCAAGACTGCCATAGTAGTGGACGATTGCAGCCACAAGCACGAAGCAATGCCAGAGGTTATGTGAATGGCCACACATGTCGAACTTGTCTGGATACCATCTTTCTGGGAACCTCATTGTATACACGTATGCTCCAAAAATATATGTAGCTCCTCCAAGTGTCCAATAGTTTGTTGGGAACACAGGCATTGTAAGCGGGTCTCTGAAGTAAATGAACTGGATTCATGGAAACGCTGCTGACACTCCCAGAACTACGAACAACAATGCTCTGAATGGCCTATACTTTGGAGTGTTGAACTTTGGAATCATTGTGACAGTGAATACTCCGAATCACCCAATGAAAGTTATCAACAAATACAGAGGTCTCAGTAAGTCAAAGTTGGAGCAGTACAGTGAGTAATACACCGGAGGCACTCAAGAGCCTTCAATAAAGAAGGCAATGCCAGCATAGTCAAGTCTTGAGAGGATATCAGATATCTTGGAAGAGTGTACAAAGAACAAGCGATATATAGCACTGCATCCAAGACATCAGACGGCAGACAACATGTGAATATATAATGGGATCCTGGTGATATCATGCAGGATTTCTCCTGGCGACTCGAAATATGACGAAAACGTAATGTCTGGCATGTTTCCTGAGTTCTGTTCCTGTACGATTTCATGGAGTAAGTCTGGGACTTTGCTGCTCAGTGACTTTAGAGTAACCATTCGCATGCTCTTGTATTTATCTTTGACGCCTTCATGAACTTCATCGATGTATTTGCTCAAAGTCTAGTGGAACGTTGAAGTCATGTTCTTGGCTTTAGTCAACATGTTGTTGAGTTTTTCTGGACATCTGACTTTGAGACTCAGAATCTTGACTCCTTCAATTAAAGAATGAATGTAAGTTTCAACTCTGTCTAATACGAAGTCAAGGTTCTGCTCTACTTCGCTAGTGGTTGAGTTCTGCAAATCGAAGTTGAAGTAAGTCTGGTTGGAAGTCCTCTCAGTGTTAGCACACTCGAAGTCTTCGTTGTGATGTCCAAAGTTGGCTTCTCGATGGCAAGACGGCGAGTCAATCTTGATCCCTTCATCATAAATTTTAAATATTTTCTCGGTGGAATTATGAATTTCCTCTCCGTCACAAAACGAAATGTCGTCAGAAAGATGATAGATACTGTGGAACTGCTCCATGACTTTGAGGTGAATGTCAGAGTTAATGTTCGGACCAAGTTTGATTGCTGTGTAGCTAATAAACACAATAAAGATGATCACTCCAATCAGGTGGGTCCACACATTGACACTTTCGTTATGGATCATAAAAAGAGATTTCAATATTTTGAGAGGGGAGTCAAACCCAATCCTGTACTCAGTATGAATGTGTTCATTGTCAAGGAGGAAATGGGGAGCCTCTTTGATGCTTCCAATAATTGACTTGACTCCTATGAGGATATCTTGAGCTTTAGTAGAAGGTTTGAACAAGTCAAGGCTTTGAATTCTCTTCTATATTTACTACATCAGCATCTCAAATTTAAGAATTGATAACAACATGAAAAATCAAGTAGAAAAAATACAAAATTATCATTCTTTAAATCAAACCTACATCCTGGACATCATAAAACCTCATCTCTCGCCAAATCCACACACCCCAAAACCCCTCAAACCCCAAAAATCTCCTTCCAAAACACCCCACCTCCCCAAAATCCCCTCTCAAATCCTTCCTCACTACAAAATCCCCTCTCCTCCCACTCCAGACCTACTTCTTCCCAAAAAAATCTCCAAAATTTCTCAAAATTTTCAATTTTCAGGAACAAAAATGGGGTTTTGGGGTTTTGGGGTTTTGGGGTTTTGGGGTTTTGGGGTTTTGGGGTTTTGGGG